ACACTGTTGACACTGTATCACAACCCAAGTCCTCCTTCCACCCAATCCTCATTTCTTCCCATTCCTTCCATGGATGATGATCACGAAAGCATTCCCTAATAAACCTGCTGCCCACTGTCTCCTGAGTCTGCTCCCTGAGAGTCCCACCTGAGATACAGAGTTATAGTTTAGTGAGAAAAGATGATAAGAATATCATATAAATCACGTAATTTAAGATACATAAAATTACAAGCCAGCATTTGAGATACCCTGGATTCTCTTCAGATCATGTATCTTTTGCCTTTTATTAGAATTTCTAGAGATAGGACAAATTATGAGTTTGTAGCCAGTTTTTTCTTTGCTTTTTATTTTTGGCAGGGTTGCTATGGTTTGGATATGGTTTGTTTGTCCCTTCTCCTGCAAACCTCATGTTGAAATTTGATTCCCAGTGTGGTGGTGTTGGAAGGTGGGGCCTAGTGGAAGGTGTTTGGATCATGGGAGTGGATCCCATATGAATAGATTAATGCCTTCCCTTAAATGTGATTGAGTTCTCACGCTATTAAATCCCAAAAGAGCTGGTTGTTAAAAAGAGCCTGGCACGTCTCCCTAACCCCTGCTTCCTCTCTTGCACGTGATCTCTGCACACACCAGCTTCCCTTTACCTTTGCATGAGTGGAAGCAGCCTGAGACCATCACCAGATGCAGAAGCCCGATCTTGAACTTTCCAGCCATCTAAAATCAGAAGCCAAATAATATAAATTACCCAGTCTCCGGTATTTCTTTACAGCAACACTAAACAAACTAAGACAAAGTTTCTGTAGACGGTGTATGTGCTGCAATGACAAAAAATATTTGCATTTTCAAAAGATTTATTTCAACATTATCCAAAACAGTATGTCGGAAATGAAATAGAAATTATGCTAATTTGAGGACAACGTCCACTGTGAGTAATGCCGCATCTAGAATAACACTGCATCTCAAGGTCCAAAGAAGTTAAAAAACATGAAAGAGCCCATATTGTAATATGAGTTATAAAAAGGATAGTTTCATGAAAGTTTCAGAGTATTATAACTAAGCAGCAGCTCTTACTACATTGAAAAAATGAATTTCTTTTAAGGTAATAAATTATAGCTTTACCTGAAAAATTGTAAACTTGTGGAAATTACTGAAGATGTGGTCTACTCAGAACATTTTACAAGCTTGACAACATATTCAGAATTACTAGCTTAACAATATACTGAGACAGCGGATCACGATGGCTTTCTGCCACAAATACAGCTGATATCAAAAAGGAGATGATAATAAGCCAAGTCTTACATTTCTTGTAATTAATTTATCATTTTCTGATTTCTTCATTTCCCTTAATAATTTTTTTAGGTTAAGACTTATCAAAAAGGCGATCTGCAGAGAACAGTGTGTAATGGAGATCTGATAGCTATTCAGTCAATTTGAACATTAGAGAGGGTAAAGTAGATGGATTGGACTATGTGGGTTTTTTTGCTTCACTGCTTGGGCTGAGGCAAGAGTGGGACATTGTGGAGAGAAGACATGAATAAACTAGTTTTTCTATCTATGCTAATCTGAGTGAATGGATAGCTGCCACATGTTTATAGCATTCCGTTCTAATAGATACAATAGAGGTTTGAAAAATATTTACATATATCTCACCAAAAAAAAAAAAAAGGCAGAAGACAGAGATAAACTGTTTTCAAGCGTATGAGCTAAAACCAAAGAAAGGCTTGGACTTACAGATGTCTCCAGTTATAATGTTTTAAAATAAGATGAACAATTGGAGCTCATTTAGATGGCAGATTAAGAATTAGATAGTATAGTAAATGCTGGGTTCTATTACAAATGTTTACATTTTTATTTATGAGCTTGTGCTTTCATTCTGGTGCAATCTCCATTATGGCCAGATGGGTGTGTTACTGCACAGGATTTATTTGAAATTCAGAAACTGATAGTACCTATGCCTGATTGCTTGGTTTATTTTATTCATTTTATCTTATATTTCTAGTTAAGAAAGGTAGTGTTGGCCGGGCGCGGTGGCTCAAGCCTGTAATCCCAGCACTTTGGGAGGCCGAGACGGGCGGATCACGAGGTCAGGAGATCGAGACCATCCTGGCTAACACGGTGAAACCCCGTCTCTACTAAAAAAATACAAAAAACTAGCCGGGCGAGGTGGCGGGCGCCTGTAGTCCCAGCTACTCGGGAGGCTGAGGCAGGAAAATGGCGTGAACCCGGGAGGCGGAGCTTGCAGTGAGCTGAGATCTGGCCACTGCACTCCAGCCTGGGCGACAGAGCGAGACTCCGTCTCAAAAAAAAAAAAAAAAAAAAAAAAAAAGAAAGGTAGTGTTAATGGCAAAAGAAAGCAGGCTAAGGATTTAATATTTTGTTCATGCACTTAATAAAGGACTTAAGCAAATGCTTTGTTTTTATTTGCTAATAGTAGGATGGTAATAAAAATTAGTGTTAATAAGGAATATCAACTCACTTGATGGTGCTTGTGTCCTATTAATCATCTTTTGCTTTGAAACACTGGGCTAGGAACAAATTCATACTGAGCTTTAGGATTTTAAAGAATAATTTAGCTAGACTTTATTAAGGATTGACTATGTTACCTGACACTGGACAAAACATTTTACATGCATATATAAAGCCATTTTTCTAAGAAGCTGTACAGTACAATAATTAAGTGAGCATCTCTAAAGATAGATTGCCTAGGTTTGAATTCAAGCTCCATCACATGTAAACAGCTGTGTAATTTGGGGCAAGTTGCTTAACCTTTCATTTCCTCAGTTTCCTCATCTCTAATTTAAGGGTAACTGACTTCTGCTTCCAAATGTGATATAGTAACAGGTGTGGGCTAGCGCTCCTCTCACTGTAAACAACTTTAAAACTGGACAAAAGACAGAAGGCAGCTCCTTTCAGACATTATACATAGAAAGAAAAAATTATTCAATGAGGCAAGGTGCAGTGACTCACTCCTATAATCCCAGCACTTTAGGAGACTGGGGCAGGAGGATTGCTTGAAGCCAGGAGTCTGAGATCAGTCTGGGCAAATAGTGAGACTTCATTCCTACAAAAAATAAAAATAAATAAAAATATTAGCTGGGCTTGATGGTACCCTCCTGTAGTCCTAGCTACTTGGGAGGCTAAGATGGGAGAGTCACTTGAGCCCAGGAGTTTGAGGCTGCAGTGAGCTATGACCATGCCACTGCACTCCAGCCTGGTGACACAGTAAGACCCTGTCTTCTGGAAAAAAACAAAAAAAAACACAAAAACCAGAAATTTAAAAAATGATACTTGTTAAAGCACAATAAGGCAGATTTTATTTAGGACTATCTCAAAAGGTACAGGGACCTGTACAATGGGATTTAGCAGTAGGGGAGAGAGGTTAGGTTCAGCTGTGAATATAGCATGGGCAAGAAGGAATTTATAGACAAGAGACAGGGTGGTGGCAGTGGATAGAAAATTACTAAGAGGAAACATCAAAGGTAAGGGGAATTCTGGCTAAACCAACCAACCTAACAGGATTCTTGCTGAAGTCAGGCCAGATTAATCAGATGTCACCTTTGGGATGGTAGAGGACGAGGAACCCAATTAGATATCAAGGGTGATCAGATATCAAAAGTGGGGATTCTTGCTAACCCAACTAAGCAGGGTTCTTGCTACAACTGGCTTTTACATTGAAGTGCACAAATGGGCTTAGCAGAAGCCTTAGGAGCCTGATTAAAGTTTGACCAAGCAAAGAATCTTAGACAACAGCACAGGCTGCTAATCTGACAGAGGAGAAACACATGAGTTGATCCCTCTGGTGGCCCTACATTTCTGCTCAAGGGCCCATTTTGGACTGCAGAATGGAGAAGTGAAGTTCAGAAAGACCTCAGGGATGCCGAGTTGCCTAGAGTAAGTAGGGCAGAGTGCCTGAGGATAAGAAGTGGTGTAGAGAAGAAACTACAGAATCCTGCATAGGGATTCCCTTTAAGTCTTTAGCCAAATATAAAGCTGTGCATGTGCAGAGTAAGATTCTGTGAAGGCCAGCAGAGAAAAGTTACCACTGAGGAGTGACAAGCTGAGTCAAGATTCCACAAGTCCTCCAGTGTTGGAAAACAAAGGTGATCAGCACGATCCAGCAACACATGTTCTGATTATGTGTCACATTTTCCTGCTTTTCTGATTCTCTTACATTTTGATAGATTATATGTTGTATATTACAAATTCTACCTTGTTGTGAATCAAGACTTTGTTGTCTTCCTTTAAAGAGTATTGAGTTTTTTTCTCACAGTTAATTTACTGATGGATCACATTGATTCTTATAGGAGGGGTATTTTAAAAGCTTTGTTGGCATGGGTTTAAAGTAGACCCTTTCTAGAGACTAAAGCAGCCCTATTCTTCAAGTATGGCTCTTTCCACAGCATTGCAAGTCACAAATTCAAGATTCAAGAGGTGGGCCCAACTTTTCATGGGTAGAGTTAAAAAAAAATCACATTGCAAAGGGTCTGCCTACAGGGAAGGATTGGAGAAATTCTTGCAACGGATCTATCACAGTTCATTTCAATCTGTTTCTTCTTCACTTCCCGCATATTTCTGGTGCCAAGCAATAGGTCACATTCACATCATAGTGTGACCTCTGGCCCTGCTTTTATGTGTAGGGTGTAGGTGAACCTGCACAATCACTAGTAGGAGTATTCCTAGAAACCATTCCAATGGTGGGATGACCAATATTTAAGTATACATGGATGTGACTACAAACCACATACATATATCCCTTTAAACCCAAACTCAATGTAGTCTCAACTCAATTTATCCCTTGCCAAATCCCAGAAATGCCTGTGATCACTCAAAAACTTTAAAGTTGGGGGCTGTGCCTAGCCAGAGCAAGGAACAGTACCGGGATGGGAGACAAGAGGGAAGTCAAAGTGGGAAGAGACAGCAGGTCTAATTGTCAAGGGCCAAGCTTGGTTCCAGAGAGTTGAGGAGCCAGATGTGAGAAAAGCAGTGAAGACAATAAGCCAATATGAAAGGAAGGGTCAAGTCTTTAATCCCATGCTGTGATAAAATGGCACCAATCCAGGGTCAGGTGGATCAGCACAGCATGGCTGAGGGAATGCCTGAACAAAAGGCTCCTGCAGTTTTATGGACCCAGGGCCTGGGATGAGGAGAAGGTGAAGGGCTTGGAGTGGAAAAGTGCTTAGTACTGAGTCCGAGTGGGGAAAAGTGTCTTCAAGCTTCCTCCTCTCCTTCAATAAGGAGGTCTCCGCAGAAGTCCTTGAGGAAGCTCCCCCTCTACATAGAGACCTCCAAATGGACCCCATAATGATTTGGTCCCTCTGAGTCACTGTTCTCTGGCATCCTTAATTCCAATATTCTTCACATCACATGAACTCTTTGAGCCTCAGTTTCCTCACCAGTAAAATGGGGATAACCTGCTCTACCTTCATCTCAGATTAGAAAGATGAAATGAGATAATAAATGTGCAAATGTTTTGAAAACCTTGAAGATGCAAAAATGTAAGCCATTTTCTTCTTACAAAGTTATGAAATTGAGGTGGCTAACTCAAATAGAAAATAATTCCCTCTGTAACATTTCAACTTCACAGGCTTTAAGGGATCAGCTAAGTAAAAAAAGGAAATGGTTTACCCAAGCACAGGATTCCAAGGTTATTTATGGCATTCTCTGAATCTCTGTAGTACTTCCTGTTGTCCTGTTGTTACAATCTGTCCTGCATTGTCTGATGATGGCCTTTTATCTTAAATGATGCTGAGACTTTTTGTTATTATTACATCGGCACTGTCTGAAAAAAAGATAATGCAAACCATATATACAATTTAAAATTTTCTAGTAGCCACGTTCTTTGGGAAAAGAAACTAATTGAGTTATATTTTACTTAACCTGTCAAAAACATTATCATTTTAATATGTAATAAATATAAAAATTATTAATGAGATATTTTACATCCTTTTTTACATGTGTCTCTGAATTCCAGCATATATTTTATATTTTACATTTATAGTACATGTCTTTTTCTTTTTTTTTCTTGGAGACAGAGTCTTGCTCTGTTGCCTAGACTGGAGTGCAGTGATGCGATCTCAGCTCACTGCAACCTCTATCTGCTGGGTTGAAGCAATTCTCCCACCTCAGCCACCCACGCCCAGCTAATTTTTGTATTTTTAGTAGAGACCGGGTTTTGCCATGTTGGTCAGGCTGGTCTCAAACTCCTGGCCTTAAGTGATCCGCCCACCTTGGCCTGGCCTTGCTGTCACTGACTTTGTAAGGAGTTTCTGCAAATGCTTCTTCAGACTTTTCCCACATTTTTTAAAACCCCTATTTATATTAATAGTTGCAATTTCTTCCACTGTCACAGAGAACACAGAGACCTTTGATTTGCTCTTTCCACCACAGAATATTACTCTAGGAAAGCATTCCATCATAATATATATAAGGTGCCTAAACTGTGCTATAATCTTAAGCATTACAGGGACTCAGAATGAGGTCGTTAAAGTAGTGTTTTCCAAAGTGTGTTCCGCGGAGCTCATCCCACATTCAGCGTATGCAACTTGATATTTTAATTTGTACCCTAGTGATCTAGTCTTATTCCTTCTGGGTACATATTGCGTCACATCTTTAAACACATCCAGCTTCTAGAATGGTGCTGTACACGCAGGAGTTCCTTGAGCTTCGCCTTCCAGCTAACGGCAAAATCAGCAATTGCCTTTAACCACAGGAACTTCAGTCCGTTGGTCACTAGGGGGAGACACACATGCGGTGGGCCTCTCTAGGCTCCTCAAATCCCGCCAGAGTCGCCCACTGTATAGACTCTGCCCAGCCAAACCACACCCAGTCTTAGGAAGAGGAAACCGCCATCCATTTCATGCTACTGTGGCCGGCGAGGTCAGAGTGGAATCATTTGCAAAGCAGCTCCTCCAGGAATAACCAAGCCGAGATCTAGCTGATCCATGATTGAATTTAGAGTAAAACTTGACAGAAACTCCCTTCGGCTTGTCCGTACTACCTGGGTTTGCAGAAATAATGCTTTTCCTTAGCATTTAATTTTGAGACCTGTAAATATAACTGCTTTTTAGATGCATTCCATAATCTTCAATGAACTTACTGCAGTAATAAAAGATAATTAGGTTAATATAAACTGCTCCAAGGGGTTTCTGATCAGACGAAATTTTATTTCATTTGAAATGAAGTTAGTGCTTCATTTTGCAGGTTACATAATCTTGACTTTACTCTGAATAGTGGCCTTACATGAAGGAAAATTTCCTTTTCATACATGTGAGAAAGAAACCGTTTCTTACACTCATATTCACGAGTGTGACCGTTAGTGCAAGTTGAGGCAATTAACATATTTAGGAAGAAAAATAACTTCCTCACAGAAGGATTGGCATTGGCCCTTCTGTACAGTAGTGTAAAGTCTGAAGGAAAAACCCTATTGACACCACTTTCCAGCCAAATGCTACAGGACGGTATCAATACTTACTGTACTGAGTGGGCATTTATTTACTTATTTCACAGTGAAGATATCTTTTCTGGAAAATTCCTCATAAGAAAACTGAAATTCAAGCTCCTGCTCGTTCTTCCACCACCGCTACGCGATGCTGCTTTTTGTGCCCATAGGTTCTTCTGCCCTAAGCAAAAGCTGTTCAATGACGGCGCCGGCGCTGACGTCCGGGAGCGGGGCCGCTAGGCCCCACCAGGTCGCCACTGAAGCCGCCCCTCGGCCCTGCCGGGGGCTGTGCGGGGCGGATGGAGGCTCCCAGGCGAAGGAGTCCGGGAACCCCTAAAGACCCTTTAGGAAGTGGGGTACGGAAAACCAAGCACGAGCAAGAGGCCCCGGGCGGCTGTATCCCTGCTCCGGCGAGTTCAGAGGGAGCGGGCACTGCGGCCATCCAAGAGCCAGAAGGACGGCGGCGCGGAGGAGGGGATTGGGAGGGGTGTGGGCAGCTCAGAGGCGCGGGAGCTGAGAGCACCGCGAGGCTTAGGAACTAAAATGCTTGTCTGAATCTGCACCGGGTAGGGGATGAAGGAACAAGGGCTTGGGAGGAGACAGATACAGTTTAGAAATTGCGGGGGGCGGGGCGAGCCGGGCGCGGTGGCCCACGCCTGTAATTCCAGCACTTTGGGAGGCCAAGACGGGCTGATCACCTGAGGTCGGTAGTTCGAGACCATCCTGACCAACATGGAGAAAGAAACCCCGTCTCCACTAAAAATGCAAAATTAGCCGGCTGTGATGGTGCATGCCTGTAATCCCAGCTACTTGGGAGGCCGAGACAGGAGAATCGCTTGAACCCGGGAGGCGGAGTTTGCAGTGAGCCAAGATCATGTCACTGGATGTTATTTGTTAATTTTTTCATGTACACTGCAAGATCACACAAGAAATGAAGCTATTAAGCCCAGGTATTGGGCCCTTTATAAAGGTGTTTTTTCATGGTGAATGGGTAAATATGTCTCTACTTTGTATGCCTATTAAACAACCCTGAATATGTGGCCTTGAAAGGAGAGATCCTCCCTTCGTTTTCCTTCTCATTAGCCTTATGTGAGGCTTTTTTTCAGAGACACGCAGCCAGGAATATCGATTCCAGCAGCAGTCAGTGTAGTGGAGAATTTGGGGTTTGAATCATAGAAGATAGAACTAGATAAAATCCTAGATGTTACCTCCAATCCCTTCATTTAAAATTTTGAGGTTATCCAGGCCAGGTGCAGGGGCTCACGCCTGTAATCCCAGCACTTTGGGAGGAGGGTGGATCACCTTAGGTCAGGAGTTCAAGACCAGCCTGGCCAACATGATGAAACCCCGTCTCTACTAAAAATACAAAAAGTAGCTGGGTGTGATGGTGCATGCTTGTAATCCCAGCTACTAGGGAAGCTGAGGCAGGAAAATCGCTTGAACCTGGGAGGCGGGGATTGCAGTGAGCTGAGATGGCACCACTGCCCTCCAACCTGGGCCACAGAGTGAGACTCTGTCTCAAAAAAAAAAAATAATAATAATAATAATAATAATTCAGGTTATCCAGATTAAGAGAATTGATAGTTAAGACAGACCAAGAGTAATAACTTTTAGACATCTGTAGACCCTAGTTATTGGGGGTGCTGGACTCTTAACACTTTTCCAAGAAAAGGGGTAAAGCTTGTGTTTCTTAATTTGGAAGGAAAAAAAATCTGCCACTTGCAATTTGGCATGGGCTAGAGGCAGTACTATCAGTTATATGCCTCTACAGTGTGATATTGAGTGATATACATGGAGAGAATCTGCGCTATATTTTATGGTTTACTGTTTTGGGGAAATGAGGCCTTTGACATACAAGGTAATTATTGTTGGGGACTCTGCTCAATAGGAGGCCATCACCTAGGCTCCATGCCAAAGGGAAAGCTTGTAAACTCCACTTCCCTGGAAGGCTGATAACTTGTAATAATCATGACATGGATTACTTGGTCCTGCTGGGTCCCAGCTTGTGAGATTCTTTCTGATCAAAGTTACCATCATGGGCAAACTGTGGGTAAATAGGTTTTAATCTCTGTGTTTGTAAAGTTCTATTATCCTGGTCCAAGAGATCGGCAGTCTATAACTTCCTTTTTTTTTTTTTTTAACACAAGCATTAAATTAACACTTTTTGCTCTAAACTAATTACAGATTCACAGGAAGTTGCAAAGGTAGTAGGGAGATGTCCCTGTACCTTTCATCAAGTCCTTCAGTGGTTACATCTTACATAAATACAGTGCAATATTAAAACAAGGAAATTAACAACGGTACAACATGGATATAGATAGATGTCATTTTTTTAATTCAAAAATTTTACTTGCGGTAAAATGTACATAACATAAAATTTACCATCCTAGGCCAGGCATGGTGGTTCATGCCCGTAATCCCAGCACTTTGGGAGGCCGAGGTGGGGGGCGGATCATGAGGTCAGGAGTTCGAGACCAGCCTAACATGGTGAAACCCCGTCTCTACTAAAAATACAAAAATTAGCTGGGCGTAATCCCAGCTATTCAGGAGGCTGAGGCAGGAGAATTGTTGGGACCCGGGAGGCGGAGGTTGCAGTGAGATGATATTGCTCCATTGCACTCCAGCCTGGGTGACAGAACAAGACTCCATCTTGAAAAAAAAAAATTACCATCCTATTTTTAGGTGCACAGTTCAGCAGTATCAAGTACATTCACATTGTTGTGCAACCAATCTCCAGAACTCTTTCTCTTGCAAAATTGCAATTCTGTATGTACCCTTTAAATACTAATGTCCCATTTTCTACTCCCATCTCCTGGAAACCACTTTTCTATTATACTTTCTACTTCTATGAATTTAACTTCTTTGGGTACCTCATATAAGTGGAATCATATACTATTTTTCTTTTTGTACCTGACTTATTTCTTTTTTTTTTTTTTTTTTTTGAGATGGAGTCTCGCCCTGTCGCCCAGGCTGGAGTGCAGTGGCCAGATCTCAGCTCACTGCAAGCTCCGCCTCCCGGGTTAACTCCATTCTCCTGCCTCAGCCTCCTGAGTAGCTGGGACTACAGGCGCCTGCCACCACGCCCGGCTAGTTTTTTGTATTTTTTTAGTAGAGACGGGGTTTCACCATGTTAGCCAGGATGGTCTTGATCTTCTGACCTCGTGATCTGCCCGTCTCGGCCTCCCAAAGTGCTGGGATTACAGGCTTGAGCCACCGCGCCCAGCCTGACTTATTTCATTTAGCGTAATATCCTCAAGGTTCATCCGTATTGTATATGCATCAGAATTTCTTTCATTTTTAAGGCCGAATAATATTCCATTTTATGTATATACTACATTTTGTTTATTCTTCAGTCAGTGAACACCTGGGTTACTTCCTTCCACCTTTTGGCTATTGTGAATATGGGTGTGTAAATATCTCCTCAAGACCCTGATTTCAATTCTTCTGGATATTGTCATGGGCTGAATGTCCCCATAAAATTCCTATGTTGAAGCCCTAACCCCCAGTATCTCAGAATGTACCTGTATTTGGAGACAGGGCCTTTGTAGAGGTAATTAAGTTAAAATGAGGTCCTTAGGGTGGGCCCTAATTCAATCTGACTGATGTCCTTATAAGAGGAAATTTGGACACACTGAGAGACACCAGGTACTTGTATGGGCTGAGGGATCACCAAGAAACCACACCTACTTATGCCTTGATCTTGAACTTTTAGTCTCCAGAGCTGTGAGAAAATAAATTTCAGTTAAGTCATTCAATCTATGGTTTTCTGTTATGGCAGCCCTAGGAAACTGATGTAGGTTTATACCAGAGGTGAGATTGCTGGATCATATGGTAATTCTATTTTAATTTTTTGAGAAACTGTCATACTCTTTTCCACAGTAGGTGTACCATTTTACATTGCCATCAGTAGATCACAAGGGTTCCCATTTCTCCACAAGATCGTCCACACTTGTGTTGTTTGTTCGTTTGTTTATAGTAGCCATCCTACTGTGTGTGATGTGGCATCTCATTGTGGTTTTGATTTGCATTTCCGTAATGCAATGCGGTAATGTTGAGCACCTTTTAAAGTGCTTGTTGGCCACTTGTGTATCTTCTTTGGATAAATGTCTATTCAGGTCCTTTGCTCATTTTTAAATAAAGTGTTTGCTTTTTTGTTGTTGGGTTGTAGGTTTCTTATCCTTTAAAAATCCTCTTTTTGGACCTAAACCCTGGGAGAACTGATGACCATAGAAGTTTTAAAGGAACCTAATTTTAGAAAGAGAGGGGGGGGCTACAGATACATGGATTAATTGTGTGACTTACTGTCCAAACCAGACACTTTTGAGAAGGGGGTGCTAAACATCATTACAATTTTATATTTTAAAAAATATTTATTGACCAACAAATTCATGTTATTATATTGGTAGACTTATAAAAACTTGTATTCAGTTTTCAAAGAAAAAAATTCTTTTTTAAAAAATAAAAATCTAGAAAATTTAGAAAGTTTTATTTCTAAAAAGAATATATATTCAAGAATTTACAAAAAAATTTTAAACAGTATTCATATTGATTATCTGAACATTAAAAAATACTCAACAGAATAAAAACTTTTAGTATATATTTGTGTCCACTAATCAGTTACTTAGATGTATCTCTAATATTGTATCACTGGCATTTTCTGAAGTGTGTGTATGGTCTTATTATTTTTCATTTTCTTCTTAAAATTGCCTGCAATGTTCTTTGACATTGTGTTTTATGGTTAATAATTTTGTGATTGTTAACATCCTCAATTGTTTCTTCACAGTAGACCATAATAATGTTTTTAACTGAGAAACTACTCTCTCTCTGCAAGTGCTGAAGTTATTGGTAAATTTGGGGCTAATCCTGCTAAATGGAGGATATTCTAAAATATAATAGTTTTTGTTGTGAAATGTGTAAAATTTCAGCCTAAATATTTTCACAAGAATCAGGGCCGGGCGCAGTGGCTCAAGCCTGTAATCCCAGCACTTTGGGAGGCCGAGACGGGCGGATCACAAGGTCAGGAGATCGAGACCATCCTGGCTAACACGGTGAAACCCCGTCTCTACTAAAAAATACAAAAACCTAGCCGGGCGAGGTGGCGGGCGTCTGTAGTCCCAGCTACTCGGGAGGCTGAGGCAGGAGAATGGCGTGAACCCAGGAGGCGGAGCTTGCAGTGAGCTGAGATCCGGCCACTGCACTCCAGTCTGGGCGACAAAGCGAGACTCTGTCTCAACAACAACAAAAAAAAAAAAAAAAAAAAAAAAGAATTGTCCCTTTGCCATTCATCAGAACACCTGAAGCCACAAATAGTTTTGACAAGACAAAATGTGTCAAATAAATTGTTTCCAGATTCTTTTGAATGTTTTGTCAATTTAAATGCTGCAAAACCATTGGGCGGTCTTCATTTTATTCCATTTGAATGAAGAATATAAATTTATCTAATTAAAAATAAGAGCTACATCAAAAGATTCTTCTTACAAGTCTTAACATTCCAAAGTCCAGTTAGAAAATTTTAAGATTATGTCTACATTGTTTGAGCCCTCATCATTTAATTTATTCAGTTTCTGTCTTCTGTGAAGGAATGAAATGTAGTGTTATCCTGTTTGGAAGTTTTGTTTTCACTAATTGCAATTCATTAAAAGCTTCAAAAACTG